GGTTTAATATGTTTAATCAAGAATCTTCAGGTTTCATACATTTAATCAAGTGACTTACTCAGCACTACACCCTAAGGGGGTTTCCCTTTTAGTCTGATACAATTGAGGCTGTCTAGATGATCCCCTCCAATACGGAAAACTGTCATTAAAATATTATACCCAAACACCACTTGCAGGCATGGCACGGGCTGTTTGACTAGCTAGGAGACTAGCTGTATGGCCAATATATGGCAGCGATCCTAATGTGGGCTATGTAAGGCCATAGAAAGCAGTTCATCCATCAAGATGACTTCAGCAGTTGACAGTGAGTTTAACAATAAGACCCTCTGGCGGTTTGTGAGAGTTGGTAACAGTTTATACATCTGCAGGATTTATATATTCAATAGGTCATTACTGTCATAACTGATAAATAAGGTCACAATTTGTGTAATGAAGTCTTTCATCTGCCTGAATCTATATAATACAAAGTAAAATACCTCTTCCTGCATTTACTTAGTACTACAGGTGGTTGAAAGACAGACCAGATATTAAATTATAGGACTTTTAGAGTAATGGGGGAGGGATCCCAGAAATATTGTAAGAATCTATAATTTTAAGTCACAAAAATCTCAGTAAATTATAGCAAAAACATTTACATGAAAACTGAAACACTGTTTCCCCAGGGAAAAGCACCATAGAATCTTCCTGCTAGGTTTTGCACAAAGTGCAAAGCAGGCCATGCTGCTCAGAAGCAAAGAGCACGTTTGTAAGGCATGTTTTGTTTCCTCCTTGAAGAGAAAAAATATGTGCAATGACTATGTACGCAGCTGGATAAATGCTCTGTTTCAAGCTCAGGATATCTTAAGGATTTCATACTTACCACCTCCTCGCAAGGGCTTTTTGTTTGGTTTAGATTTCGGGACTGCTGATGAGGTGGAGGCACCAGATTCTACTTCTTGCTGTTCACAAAAGCAAAAGTTACTCAGAATTTAATCAATATGAATTTCAGCTAACCTAATCACATAAACATAATTGTCACCCGATTAACACAGTTGTTACCTGATTCAGTTTCAGGTTTCCTTTATAGCTTTTTCCTTCTTGCATACTTTCCCACATTGCTATCTTCTGCCTTCGTTTCTCTTCTTCAAGCTAAGAAACAAAACCAGGATATGCAAGACTAAGATTTCAGAACTAACAGAATTGCCACTGCTACATAAATAGCTACAGCAGACTCATCAAAAACCAAGGGATCTATCTTTATCTGATGCAGTATCTCCAAGCTTATAGAAGCATTTACTTTTTTAAACACCGTCTTCCCAACCACAGAACAACCACCCCTCCCCAATATACACAGACTCTGCAGCTTCTTTTGACCACTTGGTGCTTTAAAACATTTTGAAAGTAAAACAGAACCAAGTGGTAAGCTTAAATCCTGAGTTTATAAAAAGTACTAAGTAAAGAATATTGCACGTGACAGTAATTTAATGCACAACATAGGGTTCCGCAGAAGAAAATGTGTTTTTCAAATGAACAAGGCAGCCAGCTACATATTTACATCCCATTATACATTATCAACAGTCTCCCAGCTCTCTTCTAAAGCAATTTATCCACAAAACCAAATAAATTAGTGGTTAAGACAGACTGCCACCTTCTCAACAAATAGAAAGGAAACAAGGTAGCTACTCCACCCAGTCAAAGAAAGCAAAGCTCCCCGAGTCCAAGCACACTAGACCTAGACTTCCTACATAGTGGGTATTTTCTTCCACAATACAACTTTTCTATACTGAGGTCTGAATGTATCTGACTGCAAAAGTAAAAATAGAAGGAGAGCTGGGATAAATGAGCAATATTATTGCTATGCTGGTCACATCCACTTTTCTACGCTGCCGCACATAGCAATATGCTATTCCTCATTACCTCAAGCTGTAGTTCAAACCATCAAATTACAGCAATGCTAAGCTACATTTCTAAGAACTTATATTTGCCCTTAAGAACAGAAAATACACATATGCAGTAGTACAGTTAATCTAAATGCCAGTAAATCCCCTCCAGCCATTCATTGTGCATATAACTAAGTTTCTGCAGGTACAGTTTTACCTGTAAAGAAAAAAGAAAAAAGGCCCACAGTGTCCCACGCACACAGTTACTTGCAGAGAAGCAAGTGCCACAGAAATTACTTACTTCAGGAAGGAGCAGAATACTACGCATATCAATCGTTCTAATCAATGAAGAGCATCAAGACATCAGGTCCACACAGCAAGCATATAAGTATATGCTTGCATCACTGGAGGTCCATCATGATACCTACTGTCCATTATTGCTCCGTGGATCAAACCATTTCAGAAGTGGTCCACATAAAGGAGGGGGGGAAAAGCCCACCACCCACATTCTAGCAGAGAGAGCGAGTCTCCTATCCTTCTGGCATCTAGCATGGAATAAACCTTTCTGTAAAAGCAGCAAAGTACTCCATGACAAATTTATGAGTTAAAGAAAGAAATGCTCTCTGATTACCTGTCTTTGTTTTTCTTTGTATCTTTCTGCTTGTGCATTCAACTCCTCTTGCATTCTGAGGCGAGCTGCTGCCAAAGCTTCCTGCCTTCTTACCACCATGTCAGGTTCTAGGAAATTGGGAAAGAGTTTGCAAAGGTATTCAAAATAAATTCTAGATGGTCTCCTCAAAGAATTGTAATAAGAAAAGGCTTGCATCTCTCCCTGCAGCTGTTTTGCAGAAAATTACAGCTCAAGTTCAGTTTCCAGCTAATCTTTTACAGTAATTTATATGCTGATTGAAATTTCTTAATATTTTAATATTTTTAGAGCAATTACTTTAATGGGATTTTAAGGAATAAGGACACCGATGCAACAGACCCACAAAAAGTTAAAATTCACATGTCTAGGACATTTGCTTCTGTTTCTGAAGGATTTGTTCAATACAAATAATTTCAGAAATATCACCCATTCTTTGCAGGGATTCCATTTTTACCCAGAGAACTTCTTTTACGCAGAAGCATGAAGCAACCAGCCCACATTCACTCCTACTCCTTCTGGCAATTGGTCCTGCTTGTTTCATTATGGCAGCAAAGCCACAGATTTAACATGCTCCATCAGCAGAGAAATTACTTACAAATATCACACATATCTCAAGAGAAAACTGGCAGTCTCAGAAAATCTACACTGAGTCACCACTCCTCTTCATGACTGGCCTTTAGAAGTCAAAAGAAAAATGATTCCCAAACAAAGGCAAATATTGCTCTCTTTTTTCCAGTAGCTGAAGTATCTTCACATTTGTTTGTCTCCTTATGTTTGCTATGATCCAGTGATGAATATGTAAAAAAAATTTCAGTACATTCAGTAATTTCATTTTATAGGCAGTTTTGGCAATTAAAATCAAGATTTAATTAGCATTACAAAAGAACACCGGTAGGATAAGGGCACGCAAGTAATATTTTCTGGGGCCCCATGTACTGCCATGCCAACATGCCAAAGGAATCAGTGCCAAGCAGTTACTGTTTTGGCAGATCCACAAGCACAGCCTGTGCTTTACAGCAGCAAGTCTCTAAATGAGGCAGGATTGTGACTGTAAGGTTTACAACGTATGCCACACTTGATTAGATAACACAGACGAGAGGCAGTTACACCCCAAATGTACACAATTCTACCAGAGTAGGAACTGTGAAGGAATAACTGGAAGGAGAGAGAGAGATGATGAATGTTAATAAAAAATTAATATTGATCAAAAGATTTTCCCCCAATATTTAGATTTGGATGTTTTGGGTTTTGGTAAGTCTAAAAGTTATTTGATAACTGACCACAGCTAATTTTAACCACCTTTCCCTCAGCTCCTGCACCGCTATTCCCTTGTTCTGGAACACCCCGCTCCTTCGTGCCCAACCACGTTGCTCTGGGACACAGCCTTCCTCGACAACCTTTTCAAAACACTTCTCTCGGCCCAACCTTTCCCCAGCAATCTCTCCAGTAACACAATCTGTACGCTTTCGCGGGCCCAAACAGTTATCCTGAGCATCGCTTACTGTTAAAGCCCATCGGAACTGATCTCTTTTTGGCTGTTAATAAATACTCTCTGTGTGTGGATCTGAGCAGCTGTCGGACGCCCCATCGCGACTGCTAGCAGGAACCTAGAAGGGACACAAGCACCACCCTACGCAGCTCTAGAGCCAGCAAAGATTTACTCACCCACAGCTGCGTCAGCTGCTCCCGGCTGGCTGCTCGGCCTGGCCGCCAGGCTCTGCGATATCTTCTGGATGAGGAGATAGATGGCGACGGCGGCCAAGAGGATGTACCAGCCATAGCTGGACAGCAGGGAGCCCGCTGGGACGGGGACAAGCCGTAGGTGAGAGCAGGCTGCGGGGGAGGGAGGGGGGGAGGGGGGAAGGAGCCCACCCAGCCAGGAGGCGAGAAAGCGGGAGGACGCCCGGGCGGGACCCGGCTCCTCTCAGCGGGCAGGCGAGGCCGCCGGGCTCCCCTCAGCCCCGCCACCCCCGCCCTCGCCTC